TCTTACTGTTATCCGCAGGAAACTTGGGCGGGATTGGCTGATCAGTATAACTCATACATACAGCGAAGGGAATAGAGTCGCGGATTGGCTCTCGAAGCACAGTCTCGTCTATCCCTACGGTATGCATGAGCTCGCTGACCCACCCCCCGCTCTAGTCGGTATTCTCCGTGACGATACCCATGGCATTACGTTTGAGCGCAGAATTGCGACTCGAACCTCCTCTTCTTCTTCCTAGCCTGTACCTGCTCTCTTGCTTCTTGGCTTTGCCTCCTTTTAATGCAAAAAAAAAAAAAATTGATTGGGCTTCGTGATCAAATAATTTTTAGTTTTCTATCTCCCATATCTATATATCGTGAGGGGAATAAGTGTGTGGACTATCTTGCCAGTTTATGACATTCTCTTCTTTCGGGATTTCATTTTGTCCATGTTTCTGATCCTATACTTTCTAATGGGTTCTTGTATGACTGTCAAAGAGTTATATGAGCCTTATTTTGTTGGGAATGAAAGATATAAATGTATTGTATCCATTTACCCAAAAAAAACATATGTTAACAACGAGACTTAGCGGGGTCTGCACTTGGTTCGATCTGGTCAAAACAAAGTTACTTTCAATTCAATCTGAGTCGGTCTGATGTGGGTTCAATAGCTGCAGGTCAGGACGTGAGCTACATTTGAATAGTTATATTCATTTTACGTTGATGTATTTATGACCAAACACATAAATAGATGCAATCTAAACGAGATTATTTTTATATATATACGATTTAAAGAAGAAATACACAATCGTCTGATCACTTTATGAGAGTAATGAGGACGACTCTCTCTAAACAAAAAAAAAAGGAAATGAGTTCAAATTGTTGGAGAATTGGAAATTGAGGTTCATAATTTATTATATTTAATGATTATCAAAATATTTACCGAATTCATATATGAAAATAATGTAGCAAACACTCATGTTTGATGACTAGCAATAAGAGATAATTAAGAAGTCTGAAATTAATCTTACTAATATTACTAAAGCTAAATTCAATTTAATTCACAACAATAACCTTCTATATTTTTTTCAAAATTTAAGATTATTTTTGTAGTATCCTTTTGAAGCCGGAATTTTCCAAATTTAAGATAAAAAAGAGATTTCCTCCTTGCAATATTGTGTCATGTTATTATACATTTCTGCAATTTCTCGAATAAATACTCTCAAGAACAGTTGGCAAATTAGTGATTTGGTGATTATTGACCACCACAAATATAAGTCAAATGAAAGAAAACAAATTTAGGAAATCACCTCAAGTCTTGAGCTTGAGAATTTTCTATATCATTTGCTTGATCGTCGATAATTTGCTCTTCGCTCTCCTTCTTTTGCACAAACCAATTTCGATTCCACCAAATGTAGCTAGCTTCGTCCCCGCAATCACAATCCAATGAATCAATTGATGTCCAACTAACATGCAATGCTACAAGACATCGACAATATTGCATATCGAAATTGAACCAACCAAATCTTGTCTCGTCAACTCGAACCCCAAGTCAAATCATCCAATCTGCCATAAGGGTTTCCTCCGCAACCCTCAACTTAATACATTCAAAGTTAAAACATTTGCTAGGCCAGGCAACCAAAATGTAACCCATGTAATTGAAGTAAGTTTGGGGATGCTTCGAACCTTCCCCCTTGATTCGCCCTTCCCCCGACTTAGATGCATCGATCTTTCTCTCTTGTCCGATCTTTTTTCTTCCTTGCTGCTGACGTCTCTACTTTCTAAGACCAGACGTCGATAAGGCTAGCAGGAATTCGATCAATCGCTATCAATGCCAGAACCCTGGGGATTACGAAATAACGAAAAAGTATAAAGACTTCCCAATCCTCCGCATCCCAAAGCTGGATGCCACGCGAAAGACTAATTATAGTAAGAAGAAGCGGAAAAAAAGTCTTTGAGAGACCATTGGCGTTTGTTTAAACTCACACCTAGAGGAACGAAGTAGCTCGAACGAAGTGAGAGGGGGGAAGCAGCTCGACCGATAGGTTTAGAAATATGTGAGACCGAAGGGCGAAGGGAGAGGGGCGAGTCTTAACCCCTATCTTCGGGCTTATATTATTCACTTCTTACGTGAAGAAATGTGTCCAAAGGAGCTAAGGTTGATACCAGATGACCTCTTTGCCACCGAGAAGGTCAAGGTCAAGGACTTTATCGAGTGGTCAATCTTACGGTCGTGGATGAAGGAGGGGCTAGCGTACTATCACAGGTACTACGGTACTGCTATGCAACCGGATGTCCAGATAAGTAGCTTCTTTGACACGGCTGTGCTTATGCGATCCTGGAGGATCGAGCCGAAGGATGCAAATAAATCTAACTCGCTTCGGTCTTATGTGGAGAGTTTATGACCTTGTCGCACTCAAAGGAGTGTCTTTCAGGATTCCAATTCTTGAAGGGAACCAGGTCTTGAGTAATGGAACATGGCTACTTGGAGGAATCTCCGGTCAGTCTTTTATGGTACAGCCGCTCCCCTACTGAAAAGGGGCAAAGCCGCTTCGCACCACTGATAGACTACTTAAGATTCAATTCAAAAGGCCCTACTTAGTTGACTGACAATGACAAAGGCTTGCGAAACTAAGTAGGGCCTGAGGCCCCCTGCGAATTCGTAAATCTGAAGAGCATGCCGCAACAAAAGGATGGTCCCCTATGCATTTCATTCTTTCCGGAAGGGAAAAAAAAGAAGTACCCCCCATCATGGTGAACCTCTCCTTGTGATCGGGATGAGATGCCTCCCTTAGGGGGCGGATCGAATCGGAGTTTCCTTAGGTAACCACTGACCTACAGTTATCCTTAAACTTTCGTGCTTGGTGGAGAAGAAGCGAACAAAGGTACGCTCGCTTGCTGTCTTGTTCTCTGCCGCGAACTGGGATCGCTCGCCAGCTAGGTCAGATTGGAGCAACTTTTTTTGAGAACATATTACCCATCTTCGGGGACAAGGGGCGGAACGACCTCTCGATCTACTTACTGCAGCCCAGGAATAAAAACGTCCGTCTAGGCCTTCCCTCTTGCTCCGATCCCCCCTACGCCTAGGACGTTGTCTGGGCCAAGAGCCATAGTTAGTTGCTGTTTTCATTTGGTTGTTTTTTTCTCGTTGTTGATACCGGCAAGACCCAGCCGGATGATGTCTACTGGTTGGTAGTGAGAGGACTCTTAGTATCTGCATACCCAAAAGGGGACGCTGATTAAAAAAAAACTATCATTTCCATTTTTTCTTGCTCTTCCTTAGCAGCGGGCGGGAAAGGAGTCTATCTATCTGCCTAGCTTTGGTAGATTTCCCCCAACGCAATCCACAAAAATTCCACGAATCCCTTGGTGGATAAGTCCGACGACTCAGCAGCAGCGCGGAATTCACTTTCTCGTCCAGTGGATTTTTTCTATAGTTAGGGGGCAATACATACCAAAAGGTTCGAAGAAGGAACGCACATAAGAGTCTATAATCAACCCACCCTTCTGTATAACCTATTCAGATTAGTGAAGTGGCTGGATGCATAAGGGAAGTGTACGTTTGTGAGACCTTAGTCAGGATGCATAGGGGAGTCAACCTACGAGCACGGAAGAGCTGCGGTAGTTCGTAGCTTGTCTTTCTTTGATAAGTAAAAAGTGACGTGGCGTGTAGTGAGCTTTCTGGCGGAAAGGCAGACTTGAAACTGACTTACAGCTTGCTTTGCTCTGGAGGGAGCTTCCTGAGTCAGACCAACTCGGCTACCGAATCGTCTGAATGGAATGTATTTATTAGGAAAGCAGGAAAGCGGATGTTCACTCACTAAAAGAGCTCAACAAAGTCACTCCTTGAAAGAGGAACGAAGTAGCTCGACCGATCCATAATAGAGGGGGGCCCCACCTAGAAAGTTGTTCAGGCATTATGCAGACCTTATTTTGAGACCTGTCCTTGAGCCCGGCCCATGTTGTCAAGACTGAGTCAGCTAACTCTCTCCTTAACCAAAGTCTAGCTCCTAACCAGAGTTGCCCTCCTACCACATCTTAGTCTGAATCATCAGCTATCCCTTCTCTCCCCGCACCCTTGATCTTCCTTATAATTTATTTCTCCTTTGGAAAGAAAGTGGTTATTTGCCTTTCTATCAAGCCAATGAAAAGGTGGGGCGTGGTGCTCTTTCTCATAAGGCTATGGCGGATTTAAATCATTTTCATTTGAAGGAGGAAGCTGGCCTTTTTGATTGATCCCGTTTAGGACAGATTTGAACCTGTTGATCATCCTGGTAATACTCGAAAAAAGGTCGCAGGAAAGAATACGCTCGACCAATAGGGTTCAGAGGGATAGGCCCTCTCCCTATCGGTCGAGTGGTTTTCTCACCTTTCCCTTCTCCCTTCGCCCTACGGGCTCATATATTCTAAACCTTCGCCCTTCCTCCCCACCAGTCGTCTTTGCCCCGGATTCGCCCTTCCCCCGAACACTCTCGCCCGTGTCTCAACGCGCTTTACACGTTCTGCGGAAGTTTGGGGATGCTCGAGGTATCATTTGTCTTCCTCCAATGACTTGTTCTCGTCCGATTTTGCAAAGATCAAGGATGTTCGAACATGGATAAGCGTCGCATTGTTCTCCCAGTAGGATTGTTATGGAGGGTTGAAGTACTATGCAAGTAACTACACCCAATTAACCCATGTTGTGCTTGACCAATTTGATCAACTATACTAGCAATGCCCAAGGAATGGTGGTTTCTTCTGATCGATTTGGGAATGATATGAGTTTATGGAGACGACCCTAACACCGAGCGAGATGGGTTTTGGGAAGAGTCAATTCATGAGCTCGAGTTCGAAATTTAGTTCCCAACTAAATACTTGGTAATTGATGTTGTAGTTTGTAAAGAGGGAAGCAACGATGATGGCTCAAAGGAAAGGCTGGCGAAGAGGGAGAATCAGAATATTCATGCTGTTAGTCAAGCTAGTTAAAGCAGTTCAGCTTCAGAACAAAAAACCAAGATACAATGAGCTGATCTAATAATAAAATCAATCCTATACCAGTAGTCCTTCTTAGCGAATCTCAGCTATTTGAATATAGAATATCGTAGAAACGAGCAGGAATGAGGCGCCTCTAGCTCCAACCTGAACTACTCGGAGGATCAGAGCGGAGAAGTCTAAGATCTTACAAGAGAAGTAAAATCGAAGTATCACGACAGATTATGGATGTTAAGGTGTCAAACCTTCTTCTCTACGCGAGTTCTCGGGAAAGACCAGTCTGTTTTCCTTAAAGATAATACTGCTACTGTTATGCTAAACTGGTTTTTCCTCAGATTCAGTATATCTAGTGACTTTCTAGATTCTATACCAAACAAAACTACTCTAAGCACACAATGACCAGTAGGGAAAGACCAGTCTGTTTTCCTGATCAAGTGCATTACCCTAAGCACACAATGACCCCTGCCACAACTAAGAAGTGAACATTTCAAACGCAAGAAAAGCTGGACCACAAGCTAGCTTGAACTTCTCTTGAATTTAGTAGTAAATCAGTCACAGCGTAAGCTTATAAGAGAAGCATGTATACATCACTGGTTAATTTCGCAGAAAGTACGAGGCTTGTTTGGCTTTGATGAAATTCATTATTCTTGAAGCATCTCCTCGCTTGATGACTTTCCCTTCCTCCATATACAGTGCCCCATCTGCATATTCAAGCTCTTCCAGTCGATGGGTTACCCATATAGCTGTAACGTCATCTGATACATCTAATGTGTTCTTCAGTGCTTTGATCACCCCAATCTACCAGACAAGCAACCATTTCCTTTCAGGGTATTTTCAATAACGGTTTTAAGAGAGAGAATGTTTCCACTTAAGATGGCAGGTTACTTTGCAAAAATGGTAAGGTGATGACTCCACGAGAGACTAACCTGATCCTTCTCATCTAAGAACGTTGTTAGCTCGTCCAGTAAGAGCACTTTACATGCTTCAGCCAGAGCTCCAGCAATTGCAACCCTCTGCTTCTGACCACCGCTCAGTGTTTGCACAGGTCTCTGTGAAGAATGCAGATTCAATAAATCATAAAGAATCAATGTAGTAATTCACTAATTTGTGAACCTCCATAAGCTAAATTTATTAAAAGCCCTACCTGCATGTAGGAAGCCATGCCGACTGCATCAAGAGCTTTCGCCACCCTGCGCCTCACTTCATCATTTGAGAGGTCGAACTTTCCGAGACCAAAGGATACATCTGCTTCTACTGTAGGCATGACAACCTGCAAACAAACAGTACAGTTCCTTTCTATCAATCTATTGGATTTGGTAGAAAACAAGGCTCGATGGTTACTTAAAAGACTTCTCCTGCTCTTTAAGAACTGAAACCGGAGTTCGCTCAGTATTCTTAAAAGTCTTTTTTAACTTTGCCAGGTACATTCAGGGGGATGGCCGGTCTTCACTTGAGTTTTTCAGATTTATCGAAAAAATACCACAGTATTCGTGCTTATGCTTTTTAACAACTAAAGTATGAATGCACAATTAGGAGTACAGCTTAGCAAGAAGTTGGTAATACTACTAATGACTACCAATGAACCTCCTAATGACTAGTAACTGGATCCCTACTATCTATTTACCGAGTGATTCTAATACTACTATTAATGTTATGAGTGGCTCAGTGACTGCTAATGAACCCCCCCTAATGCCTACTAACCAGACCCTTAATAGCCACTTAAATCACTTCTCCCACCCTTTAAGAATGAGCAGGGAATTCAGATTTTGCCAGACTCATTGAGGGGTATATGTTTCCCCCATAACTTCAGTTCATCATCTTCATTGATTTCATTGAAATTGCCACATAGTTCTTGCTTAGGCTGCCAATAACTAAATTACAGAAACTTGGGCGCCAATGAATCAAACAGAACGGCGACTATGCAAAGACAAGGGAACACTCATAATACAATGCAGTAATCAGTGACCAACTTCATGGCTTCTTCCTTATACCATGCAATTTCTGAGCAAACAAACCTGATGATCCGGATTCTGGAACACAAAGCTCTTCGGCCTCTTGACATTGAAAGTTCCACCATTAGGGTTTAACAGACCAGCCAGAACCTGTCTAATAACCACCATAACAAAAAAAGCCCTCAATCAGTCAATCACTCCTCTTCGCTCTTAGCAATTCCAAGCCACCACTCAAACCCCCCATTTCCTTAATCTCGATTCAATTCGTCAAGACCATAACATTCCCGCGCAATTTCGCTCGAATAACTTCACAGTTCAACCTTCCAAGAGGAAAAGAAGAAACTGAATTTCACCTTGAGAAGAGTAGATTTGCCGCAGCCGTTGGGCCCGAGAAGCATCCACAGCTGGCCGGAAGGGATTCGTAGGGAGCAATCTTGAAGAATCGGGACGGATTTCCCTTGCTGCGTCGCGATCGAGAAGCTGAGATTCTGCGCTTCAATGGCCACGTCGGCGGTGGCCGCGGTTGCTGCCGCCGCCGACCTCCGAGTGAAGAAATGGCTTCGTTTGTCTGAATCGGCCGAGTTAAGGCAGTGGATAGAGGAGAAGCGAGAAAGCGCCGAGGAATCCATGGCGGTGGCTGCAAATGGAGGGAAAAGGATCGAATTCCGTCTCGTTGAATTCGCGCAAAAATATAACAACCACTCTGACCTGTTTAGTTACCCAGAAAAGCGAAACGTTTCGATTTCTCAAACTAAAATCGAAGGTACGGCGATATTTTAACGATAACTTAGTGCTGGCCCGAGATATTGAAGGAACGAGAAAGGGGAGCGCCAATCTGTTTCTTATCTGGAAATTTTAAGCCATAAAAAAAGAGAACCAAACCTTCAAAAAAAAAAAAAACCTTGTCGTTGTTTCCTTCCTCTCCCAATCCGCCATGGCTGCTGCATTCTCTGCAACATTATCAAGAACCCACGTCGTCCCTTTTCTCTCCCCATTCCCGCCAATTCCCCAAACGAGGACGAGTCCTCGTCTCCTCCCATTGTTGCGGCAGCCGATTATCAGGGCTGTAAACTCAGCTGAACCAGCGAAAGAGAAAGCTGCAACGAAGGCAAAAGCTGAGGATCAGCCCTCTCCTGCCAAAACTCTCACGCCGAAGAAGAAGCCAGTTTACTCAAGTGGGTAATTCGTTCTTCTCGTGTTTTGTTTTTCTTTCAAATTGGAACCCTCCATTTTCCAGTGTTGATTGAATTCAGGGGATGGTATGGTTTTTTTTTTTTTTTTGCAGTGAAGAAAGGGCAGATTGTGAGAGTGGATAAAGAGAAGTACCTCAGTAGCATCAATGTAAGTTAGCTACCTCGAAGAATATGTGTTCTTAGTTTTGGAAACGCCTAGCAATGGTGAGAAGAAGGGGGGGAAAAAGAAGCAATCACACAAGATTCAATCTTTTGGTCTTAATCTATCATGTCCTTTTGTAATCTACTTTGAATTAGCATTTCCAATATGGTTAGGGAAGCCAGGGAGCTGATATAAATCTTAATCCATGCTAACTGAACCAAGTTTGGACTTTGATTTGGATCCAAATTTGTGTATAAAGATTCAATCTTTTTGCTTATCCCGTGTATAATAATGGAATTTTGTGATTGAGGGAGGCTTTGTTTTTCCTGTTGTTCAGTATTTATCAGTAGGCCATCCTCCATACTACAAGGGCTTGGACTACATCTATGAAGATCGCGGCGAGGTTCACTTCTTCTTCTCCTCCTTCCTTCCTTGAACTCTTGCTTATCAACCAAATTGCTAAGCAATCAACAATTCTCAGGTGCTGGATCTAAGGATCTTCGAGACAGGAGAGTATGCACTTGTAAGTACTTGTTCATGAAGCACATTTCACTTAGAAACTGTGGATTTGGACACAACCTCTTAATCCCGCAACAACGACTTGTCTAGAATCATGAATCGAATCGATAGTTACACTGGTTCCATCTTATTTCTTTTCAATAGGTTGCATGGGTTGGAGTTCCAACTGCACCAGCTTGGCTCCCAACTGATATGCTCATCCAGGTAATGTTTTTCCTCGGCCAAACCTTTGATAATCAAGAACAACGAATGCTTCCTTTGGTTTCTCCTTTCTACATTACAAGCTTTGTTTGATGATGATGATTCTAAGTTGATTTCTTTTCTCTCTCTGGTTTACAGTCTGAGAAACTCGATTATGAAAGACTGTAAATATGCTTCTCTTACCATAAAGATATGCCATCAAGAATCAAAGGAGAAGGTCTTCTGAAGACCTTGTGTAATGTATAGTGACTTTTTTGGCTTCTGACTTTGTAAAAGTATATGATTCAGCACATTCACAAAGGTAAGTGTCAAATCATTTTCCTCTCATCATTATATCTTTGCCGTATCAAAGAAAAGGTCAAAGAAGCGGCTTGGCGGCGGAAGTGAGTTAGAGTTTTTTTTTTTTTTTTTTTACAAGGGCTGTGAGTTAGAGTTAAGGCCCAAATTTGAGGCCCGGCCCACACTACAATCGGTGAGCAGAGTAGAGGATGGGGGCAAGGGCCACTCGGCCTGAGTTGTCCCCCTTGGATGTCAAAGATGTAAGTGGGTTGGGCTGGCTGGGCCCAATCAGGCGAGTAGGAAAATTTTTATCTCCGAGGCGAAAATCTAGACGGACCAGAGTGGCTGGACAGTGGAGAGAAAGAGTTGGGTCGAAGTCGAACCGAACCGAACTGAAACAGACCAAATCAACCCTAGTTACCGAAATCAGCTGGTGCGAAGGTTGCAAACCGCGCAAAAAAAAAGGTGGTCAAAGCTCAAACAAACCGGTATACGGTACCTGATTTCCAACATGAATTAGAACGGTCAGGCAACCTGCTTAATGAAATTCCGAATGGTACTGCTACGATTGGTAACCATTTTCCAACCAAAATTAGTTGTTTCGATTACGATATTTAAATCAAATTATTGAGAGTCACGTATTACGATATCGTTATTCTTTTACGACTAAGTTCAATCTAGTATCATATCTTACCCCAAAAAAAAAATCCCAAATTTTCATAAATATCAAAGAAGAGAGTAAAAGGGGACGAGGATGGGGAGCTTTCAATCTGATTGTTCCAAAACAACGCCTCACAAAACGTATCTACCTGCATCTGCATGTGGCCCCTTTTGCTTTTGTCTTTTTTTTTTTTTTTTCTGTACCACAAAAGTAAAAAAAACAAATATAAATATAAATATAAATAAAGTCACCTTTCTGTACGTCTAGCCCTACCTACTCTCAGCTACCTTCCAAACGAGACGTAGCCTACTAATAATAGCTACCAACTAGACTGACTACTTCTGCTGCTGGGCTTTCAATAATGGGCTGGACAGGCAGGCAGGCCTGCATTTCCCACCCCCCCTAATTTTTATATATAAAAAAAAAAATTACAAAGGAAAAAGTTAGCATGGGAAGGAAAAGGAAATATGCATGGTACTGTAGCAACTGAGCTACATAGCTAGGCTTTCACCAATACCAAGCCAGCCAGCCACACACACACAGAGAAAAATTTAACAGCTTGCAGAGCTTTTTTTCATGGTGTGTGGGGGGGACTTCTTTGCTATGGTTTCAATCGGTTGTGTTGTTAGCATCATAGTCGGAAAAAGACGGGAAAAAGAAGAGAAAACTGAAGATACATGAAAGTCTTCTATATTTTATTTGGCGATATCAACAAGTCCGTCTTCTCATCTGAAGTGGCTATGAGTGGATTGATGATATACTCCGCTAGATATTATCCAACAAGGTTTTTCTAAAAGGTAAATAGCACCATAATATAAGTTTCACACCGCTCATCGTCAACTAACAAAAGCTCGGACGTAGATTTAACAACGTGATTTTGTTTAACTGACATGTCCATAGGCTGTTATTTGACATACAAAAACAAAGATTTGACCGTTAAATTGTATTATTCCGAAGTGAACTTTTTTTTTATTGACCACATGAATGGTACTCATTAAAATTTTGAGTATTAAACCCGGAGATTTATATGTAAAACAAATAGATGAGGCTCTAGCTATATGGCAAAACTTTATGCTAAAAGAAGCCTAGGAACCGAATCATGTGAAGATGTTATTAAACTAGAGAGTGATCATATAGTTGTGTTTCTCTTATAATTGATCATATGTATATATATATAAAAGTAGTGGACCACTTTCGAGATGAATATTGGTACCACCTCTCGAGATTGCGATGTGTGGTGTTAAATGGTCACACACCCATATATATTGAATCGAAGGCAATTCCTATCCGCCAAACTACACCCACACCCTACAAAGCCTAGGCTAGGCTAGGCTTCAACAACAACAACCCAACCCACTCATTCCAATTCCATGTGATGTGATGCTACTTAGGACAACCGATCATCCCATATGACTAACCTATCTATTTAATTCCAAGACACGATAGCAAAATCGTACAGGAGGTTATACTGGATAAAGTTAGCGGCAAGATATTTTGTGATTATATCATGACCAGTTTACTGTTATATACCGAGAAAATCAGTTATTGATGGGGGGGAGTTAATAGCAAGTTTAGCATTGTCCGTTTGAACTTGAAGTCAATTTAATGATCGGAGCGGAGTTATCAACACCGTCACTGGAGTTTGTTGTCCTCGTCGTAGTCGTTGATTCATCGTTGTCTCTATACAGACAATTTAAGTCGGAGCTAGCATTATCGGTAGAGATTCGATTGCTTCGTTTCTAATGTGTTTTCACGTTTGTTCAGGTTCGATTTTATGATCTTTCAGTAGGTGATGAAGCAAGTTGAAGCGGTGATTCAACGATTTTTAGTAGTGATTTTCTGATTCTTTAGTTATGAATTTGACTTTTTTGTAGCGATTTTCAAGATTCGAGAAGGGAGACGTTGGGGGCTTGCCTAAACTTCGTCCGAGCACTGAAAACAAAAACAACAATTTGTACTACATAGATAAATGAAATAACAATTAGTTCAAATTACTAGTAGCTCACTTAATATTTAACGATAAGAAAAATTCACTTAATATTTAGCGATAATATAAACGACTGATAAGTAATTAACTATATATATAGTTATATAGAGGTGACTACTTCGGTGCCCTCACAAAAATGAGTGCGTTCAATGTACCCAACTAAAAAACTAGTTTTAAGGTGTCGGATTTTGAATTTTAATTTATAGAATTAGTTTAATATGATGATATAACATATGATAACAACTAATTAACGGATTACCCTAAGCCCTAGATCTCCAATTTTGAATTCTATCACTAAACCTCAAATTGTAAACCCAAACCCTAACCATAAATCTCTAAACTCTAAATCCTTCAAATTAAAGTAAATCTTGAATGATTTTTGTGTGAATTCATGTGCTTTATTGTTCATCACATCTTAAGTGATGATTTCCATCATTTTGACATGAATAGCATGTCTAAAATGACAATTATGAAGCGATTGTACTGAAAACACCACCATATATATAGACAGCAACTAGTTATACTTATACACCCTGGCTTGCACCCCTAGCCTAACACAACAAAAATAAAGGCGACAACATTAGCTGCAGGGCAGGCCCAAAAGTTCATGGGACTATGAAAATAATAGCTTGGGAATTGTAAAACAAATGCAATAATCCCTTTTGGCATGCAGCTACCAAGTGTCTCTACTGATCTACATTTTACTGAACCACAATGTAAACAAGAAAAAAAAATAAGAAAAGTTTAAGCATGATAAGCATATGAATGGAACTTCTATGTACCTGATAAATCTAAAAAATATCGCATACTCTTTGTAGGAAAATATTACATATATTTTGAATTAATTAGATTTTGAACATGATGTTATATTTTAATTGATATTGAGGGTGGCTTCTACTGATATATTAATAAAATAGAGTGAATATTATACACCCAATTCTAAAACTACATTTAAGCCATCGAATTTGAATTTTATTTGGAAGCACGAGTCTAACATGATGATATAATATTGGAACTAATTCATTACCCTAAACTTTAGTTCTTTAACCCTAGCTAAACCCTAAATTCTAAACACTAAGTTATTCAAAAGCAAAGTAAATATAAATGATTTTTTTGTTGCAAATCCATGTGTTTCCTTGCGTATCATATCACAAGTGATGATTGATATCGTTATGACATGAATCACTTGATCATAATAACGATTACGAGGTGGGTGCATCGCACGCACACACAAAAAAGTGAGTGCACCGAAGACAAAACTCGTGATGATCGTAAAAAGTAGAACACTAAGATGAACCCTATACCCTAATTTCGATTTTAAGTACTAGAAACAATGATTGATGATTCAGATCCATCGAAATACATTCAACATATAAGATGAACCATCTTAAAGTGTAGATGTTTAGAGAATCATAACACGTATTGTTTACTCATTAAGGCTGTGCTAACTACTAGACCTGACAATCGGGTCGAGTTGGGTAATTTCGGGTTGGGAACTTCGGTTACGGGTCGGGTCATGTTTGGTTGACTTATTTCGGGTCAAATATTGACCCAACCCATTTGGTTTCGGGTTGGGTTACAGGTCATTTCGGGTTATGAGCGTTCTAAGAAACAATATTAAACATGCTTCATATTTTCTTAAAGAACACAAATTTTCACATATGCATGACAATAGTTTACCTAACACATGTCAATTAACATATTCTCAAATCCTCCCACGCTAATGAAATGAAATATAAATTGCGCAAATCGTCAAAAAACAATCACAAGAGTAATACTACTTCAAGAAACACATGATATTTGATTATCCTTAAACTCCAAACATGTCAATCAAATTCTTGTGATTTTTTTAAACATCTCACCAATTTATGAGTGATTTTATCATATTTTGCGATTAATATATTAAATGGAACGGGTCTAACGGGTCGACCCGCTAACCCACCCAAACCGACCCAAAAAATCACGGGTTATCGGGTTCGGGTCATTCGGATTTCGGATTACAAAAAATCTAGTTTCGGGTCGGGTCAACGGGGCGGATTGTAATTTGCTAGGTCTAATAGCTATAGTATAATATCCCAAAATTCCAGTTATCATTCACAGTTTAGATAACATTTTCTTACCGAAGAATACACCCGTAATCATAATTTTACCTTGATTACTCTAAAAGTATACACATCTAGGGCTAGCAGGGTATAGGCTAGCTCGTGACATTAAAGCTCATCATCGTACCCATCCATATATGGTTTGAGTTTTGTGAGAGAGGAAACCCTCCAATTGAAGGCACACTCCCCTTTTCCTAAAGATTTTGATTCGAGGGATTCCTGAAACCCAGGAGACCACAATGCCGTTTTATCTGGAATGAATACTATTCCCCTCCCTTGTATGTTGGAGCAGTGGCCGGCTACCTTGGTAACCATAAAGCATATTCTGTGCTCCATTTGCTATACACATCGAGGTTCCAAAATTCCCCTCTACCAAGCTAGCTTAGGTAGTAATAATATAATTAGTCACACAGGTATCAAGAAGAAGACAGCATGCAAGTGCTACAGTGGATCTTCACTCTTGCCCATGAAAGTTCAAACCCTGCTCTAAAGCTCTCCTCGCCAAACCCAAGCGCGGTGGGGTTTTTCCCCCCAGCCGCGGACACCAAGAAAAGAAAAGCTGCTGCTGCAGCAGCAGCTCCTTTTCACCCTCTCCCTCCCTCTCCTTCTTAATTCCAAATAGTTAATACGGTTACAGCCAACACTAACACGAATCATAGGTTGAATAAGACCAACACCACTAACCTTATCGTGAATACTTATGTCGTTCTAACAATCACAAATGTAACGAAAAACGAGGGGGGCGGGGGAATGTATACTAAATCAAGTTAGTAGCAATGAAGAGATCTAGAGCTGAGTGAATTCTTTGATTGTTTCGAGTACACAACGATTTCAGGTGAAGTGTTTTTGTTTTCCTCTCTCATTAAAACGCTGCAAACGACAGATATTTCATGAAAACGCTTTGTTCTTTAGCGTTTCCATGAAAATGTTTTTTTTTTTTTGTCTTAAGTGCGTTCACTATTTAAAAAACGCTAACGCTACGTACGAAAGTGTTTTTGTCCGGACGTTGATGAGTTGATTGAGAATTTAATAAACCACTATATATTTATATGGTATTTGACTAATTTTGAATGTTAATCTTGAGATAGATGTGAAGACTTGGTAGCGGGATATGTGCCCTAAAAATTATAAAGACAGATAATTTTGCTTCTAAACTTGGTTATTTGGCTACTTGCCTCGTGGGATGAGATGTGGGAAGGCATTAATTAATCTACTACGTTGACAACGCCAACTATTTGGACATGTGAATTAACAGACACTCTTATATTAAGAGGTCAGGTAGTGTACAGCAAGAAAATTATTTTAAAAAAGAACTAGTTTTGGATTGGCCTGAAATTCTGTTTAACTAAAATAGAAAAAAAAAGGGTTCCACATAGTGTCAAAGTCCGGATCACGTCATGGAATGACATGAGATCAGGGAGCCAAATATATATATATATATATGACAAGAGGAAGTGAGCACTGTTATAAGAAAAAGGGTTTCTACTTGTACATACCATGAAAAGGATTGCAATTTGCATGGAGGGAGAAAGGCTAATTCATCAGCTTCGATCGATCCTATGCAGCATACATATTCTGCACCTGCACCAGGGAGTGATGATCATATCAGAAGACTTCATGACTTCACTTCAACTTTAACATATATGAAATCTCCATTATCATATACACTACTTTACCCAATTGATCTCCTCTTGTCTTCTGGAAAATGGGTTGTTACCCGTTCAAAACAGTCAGCCATTGCTCCCAGTAAACACCTACATCTTCTTCTTCCTTCCTCTTCCGTCTTTTTGTTCAAAGTTTCTTTATATAGGCTAGCATTCATATCCAAACTTTCTTCTTCTTTCTCTATATACAACAAATGCAATCGGTATGGAGATTTGAATACAAGCATCTACAAATGCTTTTCATCTTTCATGACTATGAACCGACCAGCAGCAGCACAAATATGTAGCGGAGAGCAGTAAATGTACAGCAACATAAAAGTGACAAGGCGATTTGATTCAACGAGAATACAGCTGGTCTGGAACCTAGAGGTATCATGTTCTAAAATTCCTTAAGTAACACCTTACTTTATACAAGCCTATATCACCACTATTATAAAAAAAAAGTATATAGCAATATAAAAATCTAACCTTTGCTGATGATAAGCCCTAATGAGTTAGTTATATGAAATTTGATAATCTCCTGCCTATGTTTGCTTAGTAGATTATTGTTCCTGCAATGTAACGAGTACAGTACAGGAAACAAAACCAAATTTCAACTCACTTTAATCACAGCAGCCCATATGTTTAGGTAGAATAAGGTGCTACTGCAAGCTAACTAGGCCAGCTAGCTAGCTAGCTAGGTCTTAATACATATGTGTACAAGTAGCATCACTACCATGCGCCTCCTTTCAGGTGCAAATATGTGTAGAGCTGCTGCTGCCCAGTTGAATTTCATTAAATACTAGTATGTTATCATCACTAAAGGCTAAACATGAAGGAAAAAAGAGAAGAGAATTATTTTATGTGCAGCGAGATGGGAAACCCACAAAACAATGCAGGGTTTAATAATTATGTGTAGTTGAAAAAGAGGGAAGGGTATGGAGAGGGAGAGGAAAGTGGAGAAAGAGAAGCTTAGTATAGCTACAGGTAGAGAGCATTAAAGCAGCAGCAGCAGCAGTAGTAGCTTACAGTTTGTGTGTGTGTGAGAGAGAGAGAGAGGGAAGCTCTTTGTTTCTTGATTGGAATTTTTGGTGCAGTTCCAAGATATATGCCTCCTCATCTGTGAAATCTCTTTCAGCACAATAAATGACAGCTTTTTTCTTCTTCTTTTTCTTCTCTCTGCCAGGCAGCAATCCAGAGGAGGAGGAGGAGGAGAAGAATGGCTCAGGCTCTCAGTCCCTCAAGCTCATGCTGTAAAGACAGAAGTGGGGAGAGAGATATAGAGAGAGAGAGAGAGAGAGAAATAAAGAGAGAAAAAGAAGACAGACATGAATGATACAAGCTTATCAGAAGAAGTAGGCATTTGGGTTCTTGATGATTCCCACCCCATTTCCTTTCTTCTCCCATCTCTCTTTAAAACCAAGCAACAGACATTTAGGTCCTTGTGATCATAAGAAAAGAAATACAACAACCAGAAAAAGTTGAAATGATGATAAAAGAAGAGAGAGAGAGTAGTAAGAATACAGAAGGCACCTTTTTTCAGCGCTGCCTGCTGCAAAAACTGTCTGCAACCAACAAACACACTTTCCCCTTCCTTCCTTCCTTCCCTCTCCCATATCCATCAACTGCAAACCCCAACTTACCAGCAGCAGGAAACATTACCCTAAATAAGGCAGTTTCAAAAGAAAATAAAAGAAGAAACAACAACAACAACAACAAACTTCTGCTCCATCTATCCCTAGCTAGCATTGCATTGTACCATAAGAATTGAAAAGAAAGGAATGGCTAGCTTTGTCAGCTCTCTCTCTCTCTTGAAAATACAAGTGAATGAGAAAGAGAAATGGAAAGAGAATATACAGTTGATATCCAAAGAGGAACAAAATTAACCCAAGCAAACTGGGGGAGAGAATGAATACAGTTAGTTACACAGTGAAGCAACAAGAACTCCAGGCACAACCTCAAGCAGCCCTTTCCCATCATATATAAACATTGTAGCATTATTATTTTTTTATTTTACCCAACAGTAAAAAAAATACATACCTTGGCAATAAGCTCATTTCTTCAAAATATGAATATAAAATAAATAAATGAAAGGAAGGAAAGGAAACAAACAACTAATATATGCTCATATTTATGATCTCTGTATACATTGTATTTATATACAGTTGAAATTAAGAACTCTCAGGCCACCACCCTTTCCATCACTCTCTCTCTCTCTCTTCCCTTCATTTTCCTTGGTGGTGAATTGAATATTCATGATGATCATCATCAAACCTCTCCATCTCAGCTAGTTCTACCTTAATTCTGCTCCTCTCTAACTAATGTAGTACGCACAACCAAATACCACATGAAAAGTAAAAGATATCGGAGTAGAAGGAGCGATATCGATTAGAAACCAACAATTAAACGGTATCAAAAGAGGAGGCAAATTAGACAAGCAAAGAAATTACGATCATTCTCTTCTATTTATTTATTTTTTGTTGTCTCTTTTGTTTTCCCCATTCCGATTCGATAAACCCTAGAATTCAGCATATACCCATTTTGGCAAAATTAGGCTAAGATACATATATAGATATATAATAATATAATTTAATATTCTGTGTCACTGCAATCCAGTAATAATAATAGTTATTATCAAAGATCCAAATCGAAGGACAAGGAGGAAGTCTTTCCTTTCTTTGAATACTCATTCTGCTGCTGCTGCCGCTGCCGCTGCCGGTGATGCATCGCCATTTGCGACGGCGTGGCCGTAGTCGGCACTCCTTGGAATTGGAGCGGCGGAATGGACAACGACGATGGCGACGGCGAAGAAGAGGAAGAAGACAAGTAATGATGATGAGGTTGCTGCTGCTGCTGCTGATGTGGATATGTGCCTGGAGAAAACGACGACGCGTCGTCGGTTTGAGGCGGTTGGCACTCCATGGTCACGCCAAACAGCCTCAGCCGCTTCCCAACCGTCTTCCCGTGAACCACGGGGACCGAATCGATCACCATCGGCGCGTGCTCTCCACCTCCTCCTCCTCCTCCCGTCCCCGAAGCAGCCAGCGGATAATCCGCCGTCGCCCCCGGCGGCCGCAAGTAGTACTGATTCTGCTGCTGCTGCTGCTGCTGTTGATGATGTTGGTAATTTTGGTGGTAGTACTGGTTATGGCCGTATGGATTCTGGAGAGGGTGAATCGCACCGTAATTCAATTGCTGGTGGTGGAATGGCGGCGGCGGCTGCTGCTGCGGATAGTCGTACTGCCTGGCGGCGGAGGAAGGAGGGAATTGAGGCAGCGAGTAGAGCCTCCCCCACCGTACGGATTGGGGGAAACGGAGCTGATTCTGGAAATCGAAGTGGTGGTGGTGGTGAGGGAAAGACATCGGATCTGGGGCGGTGGGGCGGCGCCTCCAGTCGATGTAGAGTCGGTGCTTCCCGGCCTCGCCGACGCCGCGCTGGAACGAGACGATGTCCCCGGCGTCGAGCTTCTTCTCCTTCACGAACCGGCTCCACCCTTTCGTCATCACGTAGCTCTGGCTGCTGTTCCAGTACGAGTAGCGGAACCGCCACGGCTTCCCGTGGCGGTCCTCGAAGTTGAGGAGGAGGCCCTTCTCGTTGGAGGAGGAATCCAAGGGGAAGTACTTCTCCGCGTGCTGCTTCGGTATCACGAGGCGGTTCAGCTTCCCGACGTCGCTCGGCGTCACCACTTTGTCGAACATGTGCTCCTTCTCTATCGGCGAGGCCGATGCCGCCGACGAGGACGGCCCGGCTCCGCGGTGGAGATCGGGATCCGCCTCGCTCGAGCTCCCGAGCGACAGGTCGACGAATTCGAGCCGCCGGTCGTCGAAATTGAAATTGAAGGCCGCGGAGGACGGTGCGGCGGCGGCGGCGGCGTGGTGGTGTTGAGGGAGGAAGTTTCGGTACTGGAGAGCAGAAGGAGAAGCAGCAGAAGAAAAAGATTGGGAGGAAGGATCGTTGTAAGTGGAAGGGAAATGGAGATTGGGGGTTGGAATTGGGGGAGCAGCACCATAGTCGTCTTCTTCTTCTACTTCTACTTCTACTTCTTGCTCTTCGTCTAATTCGTCGTCTTCTTCTTCTTCCTCGTGCCCTACTGCTTCTTCTTCGGCAGCTGCGGCGGTGTCTTTACTGCTGCTGTCGTCTTCTTCCTCCTGGCCGAAATTCATGCTGCAGTGGCCGCCGCAAAAAGCTCTGGATCTTGGAGGGAAGGGAAGGAAGGGAGGGATGGATGGATGGATGGATAGAGGGCAATCGACACTTTCCTTTTTATTTATTTTACAGCCCGACCGGGGTAACTTTAGGGTTTTTTTAAAAAAAAATTTATTTTAAAAGGAATAGAGTAGTACATGTGCTTTTGAGTGGATGGTTTGTATTAATTCAAACTATCATTTAAGAATTATATTCATTAAATTTTGTCACAGATTAAATTAAATGTTTGATCAAGGATAAAACGACAAATTGTGTTTCGAACGATAACGAATAATATTTATAAAGAGAATTAATTTGTTTCGGAATGTACTAATCTGCCTCTACCTTATGGATTCGATCACCGAGCTGATTAACAATGGATGGAATGCACAAATTGTTCTTTCCTTGGTCAAAGGGACTTCACTCTCATCCTCTCTAATAAGCTCGCCTACCAATCAAGGATTGTGAAACCGGCACCATATGTTATATCGGGGAAAAAAAGTTAGTGGTATGATATTTTGTACTGGAATTGTAGTTTAACCATGGTTCTACGGTTTCATGCCATTAAAAATATGAGAACTTAGTAATCGGATGAACATAGAGATAAAAATATAAGAACTTAATTCACTGATCCCTCATATGTTTCGAACTCGATGGGATTATTGGGGTCTCAGTAATTCATGTTTGACGAATATGTTTCGAACTTGAGAGGAATCATTGGGTTCTCGGCAATTCCGATCGGGACGTAGGGTATTGTTTCTATATCATATTGCTAGCAATACCCTCTAAAGGGGAGATTCTCTATCACGGATCCTTTGTTAATGATTCCTAGTTGGTTGTTTTCCCAATCACTATTGTCAAGTCATTTTGTACCTCTCCCAATCCTCTTCTCAAAGAAAGTCGATCCACCCCAAAATGGCGTAGAACAAACATGCATCCACCATAGCCCGTTATAGATTTTCTCCAGAGAGGTCAACACTAAACGGTTGATCATAAAAATATGCTGTTTGTTTCTCTTGTTAAAACAACAACGAGCCTTCCACTTTCATTCCAGTTCAAAGGGGAACGATATCAATCATTGTGATTAGACAAATTGTTCAGTACAATGCCCATCCTAAGAACCCTGTCAACATTCCCGGCGAAAGTCACCGGGCACCGGACAATTTTCTTTCTTTCTCTTATACACCAAAGATCCAGATTTATCAGTACATATGTTACAACAACGGCGGCGGCAGCCCTCTCATTTACAACACCAAAGATGAGACCATTTTTACACAACATTGATTTGGCCTCAGAACTAAAATCAAGAGAGAACCAACCAAACCATCTGGCTATAAAACCCACATATGCACCAAAACTCAGCTTCACTCTTGGCCTATTACCCCCATCTCCCTTCCGAAGCAAGCTTCAGGCTACTCGAAGGAAACCCTCTCGGTATGGAAAAGTCTATATCTCTTCTGTGTATGCACAACTCAGATGCGTCTCGTAATTGGCGAGCCACCTGCCACGCGGTTCGTGAGGGAGGTGGTTTCTAGGACGAAATCACTGTGAGATAGACCTGGGATTTGTCTCGTGGGCTGTAACGAGAACTCGGTCATGTTATAACCGCTGCTGCCATTTGGACCCATCAGGGGGAAGAGAGGGTGTGGTGGAGACAGGAAACAACTTCGGTGGGCTGGCACACTCTGCCGCAATGGGCTAGAGCAAGGGGATACAGGTAAAGAGGTAATCATTCTCGAATCGTCCCTGGGCAGTGGATAGGAGAGCAGCTAGCATCAGTGATCATTCTCACTTCAAACAATGGCACAGCTGAAGCCAAATGGTGCAGGATATCTTACCTCGAAGTTCTCGGTGCTCTGATGTTGGAGATTGCAGGCTTGATAGGATACTCAGCCTCGTGGTATGATGTGATGCCATTTCTGTTGTATTGCATATCCAATGCTGGCTGCTCATACAAAAGTGTAATAACGATCAGAGAAATAGCATGCTTGGATTGAAAATTAGAGGTTTCGACTTTCACTATGTGATGTCTTCATACAGCCAATCAAAGTTGAAGAGATATGACTAGAAAGTTCATGAAGCAATAAATCAAAGGGTTGATGATACTTTTAGTCCTTATACTATGTCATTTTAGGAAAATTGAGCATGGTAAAGCGAAGTGTTAATTAGAATAGTACAGCAACTAAAGATGTCACTAACCAAGAATCTTTCTCATATTTCTAAAGATATGAATCATATCTGATCTGTTTAAGAGACATACCGGTGTGCGGCTTCCATCAAAGTTGTAGGCGGATGAAAGATGGCTTATTGGAACTCTCGCTCCATGGTCCCGGAGAAAAGGGTGGTCAAGCAATTGTGAGGCTGTAGGGCGTAAAGATGGATCTCGTTGCAAGCATAGCTTTATGAAACTCTTAGCCTCATTGGAGAGCGAATCTGGTATTTCAGGCATATCTCTGCTATTCCCAATTTTAAATATTGCAGCCACCTATTGAATAAGCATTGAAAAGAAATAAGTTAATCCCATAACACCCTTTAAACACAATTGAGGAGAATGTGTAAACCGAATCGTTTGAGGAAATTCTAAATCTGTACCCCTTCATACTGGCTCCATGGCGGTTTTGAAGTTGCCATTTCAAGTATTGTACATCCCAAGCTCCATATATCCACAGCAAGACTGTAGCCATTTGAATTCATTACAACCTGAGTAAAAAAAAACATTTAACAAGTGGAAATTAATTTTCACGAATAGCAATATTGTTTTAACAGCATGGCATAACAAAAGCAATGCTGCATAAGTTAGTGTCAAGCTGCTGTTTTTAATTTCAATTCCTCCTACAGGCAATCATATGCTGATAGATAGCATTAGCAAATATATGTGGGTAACGAAGGATACCTCAGGTGCCATCCAGTAAGGACTTCCCTTGAATGAAAGCATTGAAGAGCAATTTGTAATCTGGTGACACAGAAAATCACAAACAGAAGTCCAGAATCTATGAGATTGGAATGACTAAAACAGAGAACTAATGGAGAATAAAATAATCGGTTGTAGAACTTTACATGTTTAGCCATGCCAAAGTCTGCTAATTTGATTTCACCATTAGGATCAACTAATATGTTGGCTCCTTTGATGTCCCTACAAGGATGAACAAAAAAAACATGAAAATTTGCTTAGGAAGATAGAAACAACATTTACATATGCAAAAGTAGGTAGTCAGAAATGTGTTAACTTGTTGCACCTGTGAACAGTATTCCTTCCATGTAAGTAGGCCAGTCCGCCCAGAATCTGCCGGGTATAGTTTTGGATGACTGGCTCCTTGAAGGCACCATACTCTTGAAGTAATTTGTAAATCGAACCACCAGAGACGAACTCCAAATAAACTGAAAGTGTTTCGTCGCTCTGAAGAATAGATGAAATAACAGTTATTTGAGAGCAGAGTCCAGCGAATCACAATTATGCCATAAAGTGTGATTAATAATGATCTGAAAAAGCAATCCTTACCAATTCACTCCCGTGGTATTTAACAATGTTTGGATGTGAAAGTTGACTAAGCAAATTTATTTCCTGTTCACAAGAAAAAGTGTGTTAACAATATGAACACCAAAAAGATAAACGAAAATAAGTATAAAGTCAACATTCAGCTGTTTTCCGAGTTTGACACCTAGTCTTGACAAAATTGTACCTGGTTCAGTTGCTTAAGACATTCTTTTGATGTCTGGTCATCTGACACCACCCTGACTTCTTTTATCGCACACATCTGCCCGTTTACACTGTCCGAACAGCCAAATAAAAGTCAGTATCCTCACAAGCTTCCATATGCATCTCCCATTGACAGGAAAGGAGGGAACCCAAGCTCTACCTATTGAATCCGAGGTAAACATGACCGAAAGTTCCCCTTCCAAGAAGCTTTCCTTTCTTCCATTTCGACAGTGTTGCAGTCATGCTTTCGCCCCCTCCATGATTTCTTGTGCTTGTTGTGGAGGAAGATGAAGGACTAGTGGGTGAAGTTGGGGGAAGAGGCAAGGGGTGACATTGGCTTTTGCTGTCATCGGACCTCCCAGTTGGCGAATCGAGATTCATACCACCTAACCGCGCATGAAGCGGTGAGGTAGGCCTGCTTGCCCCTCTTGAACCAGGTACAGGGCTTCTTGACCTCGGACCAGGGCTTCTCGACCCTGGACCGGGGCTCCGAGAGCCCACGTAGAACTTAGCTTCAGCTCGCCCTCCTGGATTGCCGGGTGACCTAGGTTTGCATTCATTCCAACAGAATTAATAACCTTAGCCTGAATCATCCAACAATTTCAATCTGAATCATCCAACAAATTCAATCTGACAACTAGGATTCGCATTTCATGAAGGGAAAGAGAAATCAATTCCCCCTAAATTTGAAGTCAACTGCTACAACACAGAAACTCCAAGCTTCCAAATTGGTAATTTCCATTTCATCGAGGAAAAGAAAATCCATCCCCTAAATCTGAATCCAACAAATTAAAAACCCAACTTGCTCAAATTCACCAACTCCAACCCTCCAAGTCGAAATGAGAGTAATTGGCATCTACTCTGTACAAACGGGAGGGGAACTTGAAGGAAAGGAACCAATTTCCCAATCTACAACAATAATTACAAAGAAAACTTGAGAGGCTGTCAATGGCCGCCTGCCCTAGAAACCAGTAATTTCTTCCGAGATCAAACCAACTAGACAACTCTAGCTAAATCCGAAATCCGCAATTCGAAAAACACCCCTAATTATAGAGAGAAGGATGAGCAATCGAAGAGACCAAAAATAGAAAACCAACCTGTAACCGCCGAAAAACGCCGCCTGACGATCACCACTTCCAATCTGGGGCTCATCACCCGCTGACCCAGTCGAGCTCACGCTGGAAACAGACCCGGAACCCGAGCCGGAACCCGACCCAAACCCGACGACAGCCCCACCCTGATCGCCGCCGCGATCACTGACGGACGGACGGGGCAAAGGGTGCCCGCGCCTGTCGGCATCCGAATCGAACCCGAAGAACCCAGAGGATCCGCCGGAGGAATCTTTCCCGGCGCGCGAAGAACCGGTCAACCCGGGAGTAACTGATGGTGAATCGGAGCTGTGCCTCCTGGTGATATTAATCTTGGCCGCCGACTTGGGAGAAAACGAGCTCTCGTTGCTGTTGCCGCCGCTGGTCGGGCTGCTGCTCTTGCTGCTGAACTTCTTCCCCCACCAAACTGAAACTGGCATGGCTGGCGGCGGAGAAATGAAAGAATTAGAAGAAGAAGAAAGAAGATTGAAACTTGGTTGTGGGGTGGGATTTATACTGAAGGAAATTGGGAGGAAATTCAATGAGAGAGCAAATGGGCATAGAAGAAGAAAGGAAGAGAGAAGCTTTTGCTTTTCTTTCTGTAAATTTCTTTTTCACATTTCACAATCAATAAACACAAAATACCAAATTGAAAATAAAAATAAAAATTGCGTATTTTTGGATAAATCCTTTTTAAAACTTTAAATTATTATAGTTGTGATTTTGGAGGGAAGTGGGCCCGGGAAAAAGGAGTGGGTCTATACAGCTAAGGGGGACGGCAGGAGGTAGTTGGATAAAAGACTGAAGGCCTTCTGCTGACGTGGCACTCCTTCTCCCACCATTTTTTCACTTCTTTGTTTACAAAATTTTGTCTTTTTTCTTTAAACAATGTCAAAATTGTTCCCGAGAATATATTGTTCGCTTTGAATTTCGACTTTCATGAATTTTTGTTTTTGGATGCATAACAAGCTGATTTTCCATAAAGACACTTACTCTTGCAGTGTAACACAGTCAACCCGTTTAATTTTGGAGTTCTTACAAGAACTTTTACATTTCACCTCAAAATGCGTCTTGTCAGTTATGGTCGATTTCTTACTTATGAATCATGGATCTCTCTCGTGTTTTGTTGATGTGATATTAGCCTAAGGTGGTTACATAAACTCCCCCAACTTTGGGCCTCAACGTCCCCAGTGAGATTTGCCCCACCATCGTACAAGAGGGACGCAGAGAGGCTCTGATACCAGTAGTAACATCCTGAACCTTTTCACGACAAGATATTAATGTCAGCTTTGGGTCTCGATCGCACGGATTTTTTCCTTGAGGTGCATATCAAGGTGAATCCCGATAAGGTCAGACATCCTTGCAGTGCTACACTGTGAGCACGTTTAACTTTGGAGTTTTTACAGGAACTTCTCCATTTCACCACAATGCGCGTCTTGTCAATTAAGTTAATATTGGTTACCTCAATTGAGCAATGAGATTAAGGATGTGAATCCGGTTAGTTGTATTTCGTAACGGTTTTACCGGTCTGAGTATTTAGTAAGTTCACTTGCTTAGCCCTATATATATAGGTTTTTCTACCAACATGAACATGTTTTTTTTCTTTATTATGGTGTGTTACACATTGTCTCATCCAATAGTTGTTTGATTAATGCTAATTGGAAGTTAGCTACCAAAATATATACAATGTATTATTAAATGTATCTCATCTTTCTCATTCTCCCTTTGCAGCCTCAACTATTTTATTTTTATTATTATAGAGGCCGTATGGTTAGCAACGGAATTATAATACGTAGTTAGTATCTTGGGAGAATCATGTACCTTTTAGTTTTATTTTTGGATAGAGGGGAAAAAACATATAATTCCCTCAATGGGAAAACATCAAACATCAGAACTAGGGCTGAAAACGAGCCGAGTCGAGTCGAGTTTTTGCTTAGCTTGAGCTTGGCTCGTTTATTAATTTTTCAGCTCGAGCTCGGCTCGAACTCGAATTTTGATAATCCAGCCCGAGCTCGGCTTGAATAAAAATAATCTAGCTCGAGCTCGACTCGGTAGAGCTCGATAAATGCTCATTAACAGAGCTTGTAAAGCTGAGTACAAGCTCGGCTCAAGATGAGCTCGATTTAAAATCATTTTTGCTGGAAAAATGTATAAACATAAGAATTTAAATGATAAAAAGAACACTAGAAACTATAAATAACATCTAAATTTCATACACATCTGTATTAGAAGATAATGTTCATGTTTAAAAGAGTAATTCATCCTTCCACAAGCTCAAAACAAGGCAGCTCGACAAGCCACCGAATCAAGCTTGCTCGCTAGCTTATCAAGCTGAGCATGGTCTAGCTCAGGCTTGGATCGTTAACTAACGAGTTGGCTCGCAAGCCGGCTTGTTAAATAACGAGTCGAGTGTCGAACGAGTTTTTTCCGATTCGAACGCCGAGTTGCTCGCGAGCGGCTTGGCTCATTTGCATCACTAATAAGAACTAACAATTAGGTTTTCTTCAGGAGCTACACCAATATTTGCATTTGTCTGCTCGTTCCAAGGTGTATCCAATCCTAAAGCTATATATGGAAGTTCTGGCGATTCGAGAGGCTATGCATCTGTTGTAGTGTTGGCAATGGCAGGATCGTTGTCTTGAATGGAATCTACTTTGTAGTAAGAGATTCTTTTTGTAGACATTAATAACCGGTTAGTTGTCAAGTAAAAAGCAAAGGTTGTCAACCGCGGGTCGACTTGCCGATTGACCCATTTTGATCTTGATTTACTGAGAAAAAAACGGATCACACACACCTGTCGACTCGATTCGCTGCAAGGTTGTCGGGTTGGAGGTCACAGGCGTCGTTTTTTCATTTGGTTTGCAAAAGTTCCTATTTTCTGGTTTTGTTCTTCGCTTAACCCTATCTTTTGAAATTCTAAGGTGAACATGTGAATATTGATATTATATAAGTGTGTATAAGTGTGTGTCAATTTTTTACTATTTGGTGCATCCAAGTACGACGTGTTATTTTGGTGTAGTTTTGTATGTTATTACTCATATGTTAGATGAAATTCGATATAATTTATAAATTTATGAACAATATTTTTATATATCTAAACTAAAATGATCGGACCATTAACCTCAACTCGCTTGCTCGTCCGGATCAATGGGCTAAATCGACGAGATGGAATCGGTTAAGGAACAAATTTAAGCCCTAATATTCCAAAGGTCTGGACCAGGGAGTAACTGCAAGTGTGCCTATGTGGTGGCGGTGAGATCCAATCTCAGATTTGGGGTATCCTTAACATTCTTTACTATTCTTCAAGTCAACGAAGAAGTTGAAAGAAGACAACACAAAACAAGATAAAGAAGAAAGGTTTTTACGCACCACAATAATACAATAATGTAAAACAAGAAACTAAAAGAAGCCGGTACGAATTATTGTGACCAACGGGCTATTGATGTGGTATTAGAGTAGTCAATGATTGAGACGTGTTGTGCTCAAATTTCGACAACACCCAATATAACTAAGTACATTGTATTAAGTTATGTGCAAATTTAAACATGTGAGTTTGCTTTCATCTGAGGGAACGATTAGTAAATTATATAAGAATTATAATCGAATCTCTCCCAACAATTCGAGTTGTTGGGAAATCAACTGAAACTTGACGTGATAAACTCTTTATAAGATCAAAGAGTCTTATAGAGTAGTAAAAGATAAGTGGTAACTAAATGATGAGACAATATAACAGTACTCTCGATTCATAAGCCACCTTTCTTTTCTGATTTGGTTCATGAACTTGCTTTGTGTCAATGTCACTACAGCTATATAAAACGTGTAGCTAAGTAGATTCTCAATCAACAAATGTGGTTAATTTCTTCATAGGCACGTAAGCCTTGAGTTTCTTGTGGTGGTATAATAATTAATTATTATGTATTAAGATTTAAGAGAGAAGAAAACAATTTTAATAAATTAGAACTATAATATTGCAGGGATGTTATGTATAGTTGGGGTGGTTAGTGTCTTCATTGTAGACGACAAAATGTGCTACACGTTTTTATGAATTTTACTACATCTTCTCTAGTTGGGTTGGGTTTCCATTTTTATCCCCCTCCTATCTAATCTAATCCACTTTGTGGTTTTGTAATGTTGCTCCCCGACATAACCTATGTGTATGTTCCAATCTAGAAGGACGAGATTATGTATTTGCTCAAACAATAAAAAGAAAGAGAACAATTGAGTTGGTTGTTTGTATGAGAGAAGTTTGATTATCATCTTAAATTTTGTTGTGATATTATTATCATGTGCATATAACATGTTCGATCGGTTTGTTTTGGATAGTGATGAAATGGGAAAATTAGTTAAAAGGCTATGCCCCTTCACAAACTGGTTTTGGGGGCACCGATTTGAGGTGGGAGGAACATGAGTAGTTCTTCTAGTCGATCTTGATTTGTCTTGGTCCTAATTTCATTTAATTCTTATCTAATATTCATATAAGGACATGTTTCATGGATTTAGATTATGGATTTGTATCCTAAATCTAATACATCATGGACTTTTGCATAATGATATTGTTTGCTGGGGATCACATATGTGTGATCCATAGACATTGTGATACGAGCACGAAATTGGTGCGTGTAGTTGTCAAAGTTGCACAGCCAAAAACATAGGTTAAGGTTATGGATAAAACGAAATTGAAATGCAATCTCACACCTGGGAGAAAGCTCTATCAATATAGAGTAAATGCTCGAACACAATCAAGGAAAATACTCGATTGATACAAAACACAACTCACAAGATAAAAGCTCAATGAACCAAGAATAAAAAACAAATAATATTCTAAATTTTCAATGCCTGCCCTAAAACTCGAGTTTAAGCCCTTTACACGGGCTAGAGAAACAAAACTAAACAAAAATCCAAAAAGGAAAAGAATTATAAACACAAAAGGCAATTTTTACTCGTCAGTGTCCGATCCCGTGTCGCGCACAATCATATTCCCGATCGGGGATTAACATCCACCAAACTAGAGGGTCTCCTGCTCCTATTCCTCGGTCGTCGCCTTGTCATCCCCGGGCGGGGAATTGGATCCCTTCCGTCCGGGGTTCTTCCATCTTCAAGCTATGACTTCTCTCTTGTTTACTTTGATGAAATCATCACATTGTGATGCCAGCGGGATTGCATCACTTTGAGGGTCCAAATTAAATTAGTGGACCTCATGGACATGCAAATATTATAGAATTTGATAAAACTTAAGTGCGGAAACGAACAAGACACAGATTTTACGTGGTTTCCCCGAGATTCGGGACTAGTCCACGGGAGAGATCAACTCTCCAGCTTGATTTTATTATTATGTTTGTTCAACAATGGCCGGCGGCCTTACAGGGGTTTTATACCCTTCAGTACAATCAGCTAGGGTAACCCATGAAGAGTTCCTTTCATCATACGGAACTGTGATTTCTCCTACAACAATTGTCCGGGCCGTGTGAGCTGCTGGGCCGGGAAGCTGTGGAGATCGGGCCTGGTCCAATACTCCCCCACAAGCTGGAACGTGAAGGTTACGAACGCGCAGTTTGGAGAGAAGAAAGTGAAAACGCTCAGCACCAAGGCCCTTAGTGAACATGTCAGC